TTCACCTCCATCCCACTTCCTCTCAGCTTCTTCCACTTACCACTGTTCCATCTGTGAGGACCCCAGTCTGCTGGAGTTAGTACATAAAAATCTCAAAAACTTCCGGGTTTTGACTCACAGCTGCCATCCAAAAAATCTGTGGCATTCCAAGTAGAGACTATTCAGATCAGACAGTCTAGAAAATACCACTTGATGTTCTCCCTGAATGATCTTTAAATAGTCCCACACATCAATTAATTTTCTGCCATACTTCACTGGGGTTGTAATCCTTTTCAGAAAATTGAGACAGAGACTCCATAATGAGAACAAAACTACATCAAACACCATTTCAGCAAAAATTGAAAAATCAAAAGTGATAATATCTCTGAAGCAATGGCTTTGTTGAAAAGAGTAAATGCCATCAAATGCATCTATTTTCCTGTCAAGTACTATAATGAGACTGACAGAAAAACAAGATGCCAAATTAATCCACCCTTGAATGCTGTTGCCTTTTCTTCCATCAATTTTCTATGCCTATCATTTAGGAATATCAATAAACTCCCGAAGAGAAGCTTTAGCAGTTGTTTACATTGTCATTTGTGTTTCTCTTCCCCTACAGTGATTTGTACTAAAGACTTAAGTCACCTGCTATTTCCCTCAATGGTAATGCACACTGCAAAGAATTGAGCATAAGCCCTTGCCCCAAATCCTTAGTCTGAATGGTTTTATCAACTACAAGCAGTCCTGAAACCCAGAAGGAAGGCAATAAAAACTACTGTCACACTGGATTGCCTTTTTCATCCCAGATTATCACAACTGAATATGTTTATTGGAAATGGTTTCCATGTCTTGCCTTCCCCAGGTTTCCCCAGCCTATTGTTAATCACCCTTGTGTGTAGTCAGGAAATGTTTGTGTTTGCTTCATGGAGCTCAGGAGTTAGCCGGGTGACCTTGGGAAAATAACAAATGCTTTGCACCTCGGTTTTCTCACGTGTAAAGTGTATTGCCTTTAGAGGGGAAAATTAGATGATAAAATTAAATAACATAAGAAAGGAAACAAGGTGCTTAGAAACCTCAAAGTCATGTAGTTCCATATATTATTTAA